GCTCACTCGGCAGGCTGTCTTGCTAGGATGTAGGGTAAAAATATCTCTGCCATTGCTGAACATAAACGTCCCCCAGAGGCTATGATAGAACCTCAGTTAATGCCCTGAGTCACCTGCCCAGTAGGATGTATTGAGATGCTCGATGCATAAGGAACATGTTTTTCACTCAACTTGGTCAATTCTCCGTGACCCCCCTCTTCGCCGCAAGCGCGTTTCCTCCGTGGGCGGGCGGGGGCGGGCGGGGCGGGACGGGCGGGGGCGGGGCAGGGGCGCGGGGCGGCGAGCCGCACGTCGCGCGATAATGTGCACGCCGCGCGTCCGCAGCGCACTTCTCAACTTTAATTTGAAGGCTATTATTCTGAAGATCGTGTCCCTTAGGTGTTACAGCAGTGAAAGGATTATACGTTGATCAATTAAAAAAATATTAAATTGTATTATATAATCTCTTCAGTTTATAATATTTGTTGGTTGTTGACTTTCCTATATTGGTGAGTTATACAAATAAGAGGATAGGTAGTACATAAGGCGTCTCCTGGCGAGGACCGTATGTTGTCCGCATTCGACACACATAGCAAGCAACACATTCCACATATTATCGGGAATTCCGGCGAAGACGGCTCGTCCCGTCGTTTGCCCCGAATACGAATACATGTGGGGGTAATATGTAATGGCGTTGAAGGCATCGCACATTCGCAACAGATATCAAGAGAGCGTGATTACTAAAGACTGAAATAATTTTATTCAGATTTTGCTGATAATTGATACATTATTCTTATATTTATTTCAGTATTATATTGAAGACTTTAATAGGTAGAATTCTAATTTAGCCTATCGACCATTGTGCGTTTTAATGGAATTGTAGCTGATAGTTCCGGCTTTGGGTGATGTTTCGCAGTAGCAAATACGATTTCCTAGCCGTAATTTTCCAATAGCTTTGAGAAGATGGTCTGGTGTATGTAGAAACAGATGTTGTCCTATAACTAGGTGCAGAATAAAACAAGCTATAGTTAACTCAAATAATTTTAGGTTCTTCTCTTCTTAAAAAATACAAGTGCATTCGAATAATAGTTACAATAACTTGAAGGCGGAGACGTGTTGAATGATGCACTCTTGTGCCAATAAACATTTAGTCAAGGAAAGGTTTTAGAAGTAGATGAGTTAACTCACAAGATATTTGCTCCTGTATGGTAGTGTCAGCCAGTGCGCCCTATAAATGGTGGCAAGCAGAGTGTAAATGATAGAGATATATATAAAATCATATTGAATGCGTCAGTTTCGTGGACGTGAAGAACACTGTGCAATCATAAGAGTTGCATTAAAACGATAGGAGCAAATGCGCATTGTGTACTTCCGTCTATGCAAAAATATTCCTTAATTAAATGTTCATAATTTGGCAGAGGTTATATAGACGCAACTCTAAACCATCTCCAAAAAGTATTGTAATGAATTTTTTCTGATTTCAATGTAAGTGTGATGTATAAGTAACGTATTGCTGTGCTTCTTGTGCAATTCTTCTCATGAGGTAAACTGGTCATTTGTCCAGATGGCCATCAATTATATGCTTTCTATAATTCTTTAAAGGTTTAAATACTTTCAATTAGCTTGTTGAGAAAAACGTCGGCGCGACTGTGTGTAACGTGACTAGAGAGAGAGAGAGAGAGGAGAGGAGAGGAAGGAGAGGAGTTGAGAGAGGAGAGGAAGAGAGAGAGAGAGGAGAGGAGAGGAGAGAGGAAGAAGGAAGAGAGAGGAGTTGGGAGAGAAGAGGAGAGGAGAGAGAGAGAGGAGTAGGAGAAGAGAGAGAGGGGAGGAGAGAAAGAAGAAGGAGAGAGAGAGTGAGAGGAAGTAGTAGGAGAGGAGAGGAGAGAGAGGAGAGAAGGAGAAGAGAGAGGAAGAGGGAGAGAAGTAGAGGAGTGAGGAGAGAGAGATAGAGGAGAAGGCAAGTGAGTTGTGAGAGGAAGAGGAGAGGGACATTAGTATAGTAGTAGGAGGTAGTTAAGGGATGTCTAGGAGATGAGAGGAGAGATAGAGGAAGGATTAGAAGATAGAAGTAGAAAAGGAGAGAGATGAGAAGAAGAAAAGAGGGAAGAGAGGAGAGAGAAGAGAGAGGAAGTAGAGAGAAGAAGAGCGAGAGACGCCAGAAGAGAAGGAGGAGTGGCAGAGAGCCGGAGCAAGAGAAAGAGGAGAGAGAGAGAGGAGATGGATGAAATAGAGAAGAGGGAGAGAGAGAGTGATGAGGAGCAGAGGAAAAAAGAATGGAGAAGAGAGACAGAGATAGTAATTTAGAGGAGTAGAGGAGTAAAGGTAAGAGAAGAAAGAGAGAGGAGAGCAGAGAGGAGAGGAGAGAAGAGAGAGGAAAGAGATGGAGAGGGAGAGAGAGGAGAATAGTGAGAGAGGTGGATAATGAGTATGGAGAGGAGAAGAAGTCGGAGAGAAGAGAGAGAGAGGGATCAAGCAAGGAGAGATGAGGAGAGTGGAATATGGAGAGTGAGTGAGGGAGAAGGAGGAAAGTAAGAGAGAAAAGAAGAAGCAGAGGTAGAGAGAAGGCGAGAGAGGAGTAGGAAAGAAAGAGGAAATATTGTGTAAAGAGGATGTAGCGAAGGAGAGGAGAGAGCAGGAAGAGAGAGAGAGTGAAGATGATGAGTAGAGAAGAGGTAGAATAGAAGACCCGCGCCAGAGAGACAGAGGCCAAAATTAAGTGGAGAAGAGAGGGGTCAAGCCGACAAGGCACAGAGAGAGGAACCAGTCAAAGGGAGAGGGAGAAGAGAGAGGTAGCTAGAGAAAGATAGGTGTTAAGGAGAGAGCAGCAGAGCGAGAAGACGAGGTAGGGAAGTAAGAAGGTAGAGGTATAGATTATACATTATGAGAAGAGATGATTTATATGGTAAGAAGGAGAATGGAATCGTAATGGATAGAAGGAAAATAACCCAAGGCCGAAGAAGGAGAGGCACGATAAACAGTTAGAGGAGCAATAAGGAGAAATGATATGAGAAGAGAAGTAGAAAGAGTAGAAGAGAGAGTCTAGGATGTAAGAAAAGAGAAGAATTAGAGGGAAGTGGAAGAGAGGAGTAAAGAGAGAGAAAGGGAGGAAGAAAAAGGAGTAAGAAGGAGTTAAATGGGTTTATAATAGACTAATAAGATTTCTGGTCTCAATCAATTTTCTTTGATTTATTTCGTGTACCTCTTTTCGAAACATTTCTCGAATGCTATCAGTATTTTAGTGCTTTCATCTTGTGTCGTATTTCAGCAAACGGCGAAGCGCGGCGCGACCGCGCGCGGCGTCCGGGCCGAGAAGGAGCAGGCGTTAAGCAGCTTGCTCGAGAGCGCGGCGCGGCGCGCGCGCGGCGCGGCAGACGAGGTGGGGAGGGCGGATGCGAGCGAGGAGAGCCGAACGGAGCGAGCGAGGAGCAGCGAGAAGGCGAGAGAGGAGAAGGAGAGCGAGAGGAGAGAGGAGGAAGAGGAGAAGGAGAAGGAGAAGAGCAGCCAGGAGCCGCAGCTCAGCGACGCCCAAGAGAGAAGAGCAGGAGAGGAGAGAAGTAGTAAGAACGAAAAAGGAGAGGGAGGAGAAGAGAGGAGAAGGAGAGAGAAGAAAGAAGGAGAGGAGAGAGAGGAGAGAGGAAGAGAGAGGAAGAGAGAGGGAAAAGAGAGAGGAGGGAAGGGAGAGAGGAGAGGAGGAGGTAGAGGAGGTAGAGAGAAGACAGGAGAGAGAGGAGAGAGAGAAGGAGAGAGAGAGGAGAAGAGGAAGAGAGGCGAGAGAAGGAGGAGAGAACGGAGAGGAGGTAGAGAGGAAAAACAGAAGAGGAAGGAGAGAGAGGGAGAGAGATAGGAGGAGAGGAGAGAGAGAGGAGAGAGGAAGAGAAGAAGGGGAGAGGCGCCGAGGTGAGTCGCTGGCTGGAGGGGGATTCTAGCAGCCGACTGCTCGGGTCGGTAGTATTCCGCGGTTTCTTCGAAAACCACCAGGCGAATGCCGGTGCAGTACCCTAATAAACGGGCCATGGGCCGCGCGCGATATTTCCTTCCCCTTTCTCGTCCTATCCGCACCCTTTACTTGCACAGATACCTGGTGGAAGATATCTCGTTGGGAAAACCCCAGCTAGCCGATTTTCTTTCTGTGGACGTTTCAAAGTCTGGAAATCATACATGAGACGCCTAGATAAGGGTTGATTGTAATCTTGGCGGGGGACGAATGAACGATTTCTCCAACAGGGCATCCCCGTCAATTCGAACCCTACCTTCTGATGTAACGAATAGTTTCGCACTTTTGGAGTGAAATGCATATTAGATTCTGTGAAAGAAAAGTAGTAGCTTCCTCTCTATTTCAAGTGCATCCACAAGTGGAACACAACAACAACGGCGATGATCGTTTACTGCATCCAATGGCGTGTGCTTCTCCTTTCCTATTGCCAACGGTGTCACATTGCATTTTCTACGAATCCGAAGGCTCGTGTGTGTGTGGTGTGTGTGATGAGTGCTATACTCATTTCCGAGCGTAGGCGATTTATATCTTCTGCCTGGGCAGTTGGCCGCAGTGACGGCTTGCCTTTCCACTCCACTTGACGGAGAATGATACGGAGGTCATGAGAGGTGAATGCATGGATGCGATGTTCACATAGGCTGTGTGGTTATTTTGTAATCCAACCACGCCACAACGTATATGCCCTTGTCTCTGACGGAACTGGAACCTTAGACGCCCTGAGCAGCACTCTGGTCCGAACTCGTGCCCCACCGCCAACAATAATGGAATTATCTGTAGTAGAGAGAGTGTGGATTGAGAGGATCTCCTCCTCGTGAGTGGCCGAGGGCGCAGAGACTGAGGTGCCCTCGCTGGCTCGTTTCGCACTCCGCGGCCGGTCCACCTTCTCATTCACTTAGATACATTTTTGTATCGCAATAAAGACGTGATTTCATCAAATTTTCTTGTAAACTAATGCTGGTTGAACCATCGTTGATTTGCATTCCATCATCTGTGTTCGTAGCATTTCCTGTTTCTGGTTCAAAAAACGACTAAAGTGCCCCGAATTTCCTAGCGAGTAAAGGGTTAATCAGCTGTGGGTCAGTTTACAGTGTAATACTTCTGTAAAAGAAAAGCCCAGTATGTGCCGCTTAGTGCTTGCTCTCACTAAATTTCCTCTGATGCATCACGTTCGAATCATTTCAGGGGATTCGTGACTTCGTCGCCCAGAAAGCTGCAGTTTTTTGACTTGTTTGTTCGTCTTTTAACCGCCTAAACGTACTGAGAATTGGTTTTAGTGAAGGTTGTTTTACGATGAAATGCACCTAAACACAATGTAAAGAGTTCGACCTCACCAGTGACTCACGCGGTGAATAAGCAACATTATTGATGGATGACGCAGCTTTCTCGGACAATGTTTGTAATCTGTAACCTGAAATCTAATTTGGTAGAGTTCCCAAAATTTTTCAACCATATTCACCTGCCGGTTTTTTATCGCTTCCCCCGTGGTTTCTCAGAGCAACAGGGCCTACCAGGCCAATGCCGGCGCAGTGCCCAAGCAAACGGGCGTAAGGCCGCGCACTTTCCTTCCTCATCTTTGTTCTACCCTCTCCTCTAAACACACACCCTAACGCTTGCATACACTGCACTACGCCACGTGTGGGGAGGCTACTCGGGAGCTTAGCGCTCGTCGCGGCTGAGGCGGCTCCGCTGGCGGAGATCCCCGCGGAACACCGCCACCTCCCGGGATAGAACTTTCACTCACTAAAGGAACTAATGGTCATAGTAGTTTACATGAAGACCCAGTTTTTAATAAATTGTGCGACGAATAGGCGTTTAAAATATTTTAAAGAATATATTGAACCTTCGTTCCATATCTTTTTCTGTAAGAAAATGATCGGACGAAAGAACACCGCTTGAAGTTGGGTATTAAAAACGTACTGTTTGGGGAAAAACTGGCGTCTGTGTGTAAATGCATTAATTTGCTCTACAAAAAAGGCGGAGATGAAAATATTTTGAAACGGAATATTACGAAGGAATTATTAGTGGAAAAATATTAAATTTTGATTAAAATGTGCGTCTTAGAAAAGGTAATTCGGTTAAATTGAAAGCACGATATCGTCATTATCACAAGAATTGATCTATAAAGTTTATTTCAATGATTAAGTAAATGAGATTTTGTGTGTGTCCACTTGACTATCCTTGTTTATAAACTTTTATAGATTTATATATGTTTATAAACATTCATGCTCTATTTTAGTAATAAAAACAAAACTAAATGACAGGAGTTAATTAACTTCCACTTGGAAAACATTTAATGTACAGGAGAAGTTACGTTTGTACTTTCTCCGTAGCGAAGTGCATTTTTCGCCTGTCCACTCTGCCCCCTCCCTGGAGGACAAGCGAGGGTGAGGAGGCGGGCTGGTCGAAACGAGCATTTCGCGTGAGCGTGGCTTCGGCTGTTGCAGATATCCGGCTGCAGCTTGGCGAGCAGCTGCGATGCCTCGACCTGCGCATGGAGTCGCAGGTGGCGCTGGTGGCCGAGCTGCAGGACTACTTCCGGCGCCGCGCCGAGGTGGAGCTCGACTACAGCAAGAACCTCGACAAGCTGGCCAAGAGCCTGCAGCTGCGCCACAAGGAGCAGAAGCAGAAGTAAGGCCAGGCCGTAGATAAAAAATAATAAATCAGGAACGAATTTAGAAAATATTTAAAGAAATCCTCTATCAAGTGGTGTAGCCAGAATCAGCTTGGGGGCCTTCATACCCAAAAATTGAATGACGGCAAAACGTATGTATGTCTGTGAACAACACTAGCAGCTAACACGCTTAACCAATCTTGTCAAAAATTGATATTCCCCACTCGATCTGGCTGATGCCGTGGCTCCTTGTATTTGAAACCGATATTTTAATTTGGAGGGTACTTGACATGAAGCCCCTGGGACATTTTCCAAATTTTCATAAAACGGTTCCATCCTTTTGAATTAAATTTTGTTATTGGATAGTGTGACTGACGTTTGAGAGAAAGGTGCAGGTCTTATGTTTGTTGAAACCTGATTTTTCGAAAGTTGCAAAGGTTCAAACTTTTTTCAGTCTTCCTACAACTAAAATATTAAAGATAGAGATTCCCCCTAATACAATCTGTTCTTAAAGATAGATTTTGAAATAAGATCATGTACGATTTTTCGAAAATGTGAGTACTGTTCACGTAATTTTGCTTCAAAATACGGGTGAGAAAGCACGTGCTCTTTTTGCACCAATCAAATGGGCATTAACCGCCATTTTAGGACATTTCAAGCATGATTAGATGATTTCAGTTGATCTATTTTTCATGATTCGTAAGCATCTGCAATTATTTTCCATAATCTCCTAAGAAACTAATTAGGCATTTATCCTCAAATTTGAGGCCTAATAATAAGCAAGGTAGTGGGAGATCCTTAGAGATTTGAAGAACGGTTTATAACTTGTATCGCCGGAAATATTGGATAACATTCTTATCACCTTTTTCTGAACACTGAAGATAGTTTTGCACATTGTTGCATACCCCAAAATATAATTTCATAAGTTAATATTCACACGTGGGAGCTTTGCACTCGGTCGACGTCTCAGAGGAGGGCGGCGGCTGCACTGAATGCAGTCTCAAAAACATTGACTTCTTAGCTTTTCAACTGGCAGTCAAGGCAGAAACAAATTGTATTCCCATTTCAAGTAAGAAAGCAAAGAAGAAAACCAAAGAAACAAATTACCAATGCCATAAAAAAAATGTCCAAGAATTAATCCTGGAGGCACTCCTATGTGGATTTGTTTTAGTTATGAATGCTTTTTAATAAGTTTTGTTGTTCGTTGTGCATTACTGATGAATTTCTAGAATTTTCATTCTGGGTTTGGAATAAGATTCTAGATATATTAGTGGAATCGCCTGTATACTGAGTATTTTCAGTTTCTTTAACAGAATGTCTTGATTTACTAGATCAAGGGAAGTACCAATACATTTTTCTCTGCTATTTAGTTTCTTATAGGGATCTCTAATGAAATTCTCTATTGCTGTTTGGTTAATTGACCTGTACAGAAATTGCGTTAAGCTTTGCTTAGAACATTGTTTTTATTATTTTTTTAAATTGTTGTTTAGTAAGTAAGTTACTTTCTCAAATATTTTTGAAAAGGTTAATAATAATGAAATTGGTGGATAATATTGTACTTTATTTGCTGTTATTACCAGCAATAAAAATTAAACAAAATCTGTAATATACATTCATGTGTTGGATTATAAAATCTTTTGAATTTTTTAGACGTGAACAATGGCCTCTATTTTCAAGTTATTCATGCTGGCAACAGCTTCTCAACCAAACTCGCAATCTCAGCAAAGATCATGCAGCTTTGAGTGAGGTGTACTCCACTCATCTTGTCAGCAGACTGTCCCAAGTTATGGAAGATGTCCAAAGAATATACAGGAGGGTAAGTGGGGAAAAAAGAGAAGGAAATGAGGGAGAAAAGTATAAAATGGAGAAAAAATGAAAGCAATTAAGTTATTAAGATAAATTCAGTTCAAGTAAATTACCTTCCTGAGAACTTTTCAATATTCCTGTACTTTCCAGTGCCGAGAGATTGGATATGAAACACATGAAGAAATTTTGAGGGTGTTGCACGAGTTACACACTACCATGAAGACATACCAGAGCTACCAAGGAGAATGTAAACAAGCAGAAACAAAACTGAGGGTTGCGGAGAATCAAAGACTCAAACTTGAACAGAGTATGCCTCGAGAAAAATTAGACCGATCCAAGAAGTACCGTCTCATTGAAAAAGAAGTTCAGAAGGTTTTTCTTTTTTTTAACGTTATCACTGATTTTTTTATTTATGGACCTTGTATTTAAAAGAATAATTATATTCATTTGTTTAATTAATTTTCAGCGTAAAAATAAGTATAATGATGCCAAATTGAAGGCCCTGAAAGCTCGTAATGAGTACATGCTTTGTCTTGAAGCATCAAATACAACAATTCATAAGTATTTTGTAGATGATCTTTCAGATCTTATTGATGTAAGTGTTCCTTAAATTTAAAAATATCCAAGAATATGACAATCTATTAATATTTATTCATTGATTCTTGTGAAAATTCTGGAAATATGTTTTACATATTCTCTTCTGAATTTCAGTGTATGGATTTTGGTTTTCACAACTGTATTTCAAGGGCATTATTGATGCATGTATCTGCTGAAGAAGGCCAGCAAAAATCTGTCCAAGCTGGTCTTGACCAAATGACTTCATGTGTTTCTAGTCTTGATTCTAGACTTGACAAACAACGATTTTTGGAGTGTAACCACACTGCTTTTATGATTCCCAAAAAGTTTGAATTTCAAGGACAGAAAGAAGATGTTAGTGTCTAAATTGTTTAATTAAGTTGTTGTTGTTGTTGTTGTTGGTTTTTTTTTTTTTTT